CCAGACAGTCCCGCTTCTCCCGTTTGAGTCTGGGTCCCTAGAGACTCGCCCAGAACTGGAGCTCAGAGCCTGAGCCTCCCTCCTGATTGAAAATGACAACCACGCCCTCAGCCACCAGCCCGCTCCGTGCGCACCTCTGCACCTTTGTATTTTCCGCACTGGGCCTCCTCTGAATCTCGGTTCTCTTTCCTTCTAGTTGAAGAATTTCCCCTCAGCCAGCTTTCCTGTGGTTCTGGGTGATGTCCGTTCCATCTTTTAGTTGTATTTTTGAAGTGGTTGTTCGAGGCAGCAAACTCCGGTGTTTACCTATGCCGCCATCTTAGTTCTCCCTGTTTTCCCACAGGCACTTTTTAAGACTCTGCTTGTGTAATGTTATTGAGGTCCTATTGGCCAAAGCAAGTCATGTGGTCTAAACCAGAGTCACTGTGGGAGAAGGGACTACCCACAGGAGAGGAACGAAGGCAGCCAGTTTGGCAAAGACCACCACAGGATTGGAACGAGGAGATCATAATGGAGGGGATGGGCCTGTCAAACATGAGTGTTTGGTGCTCCTTCTTCCCTCTTGGATTGCAAATTTGAGGGCAGAGCCTGCCCTGGTGCCTCCAGAGCGCCCTCTTCTAGTACGTGGTGAGGGCTGGTACTTGGCCAGGTGGCACCTGTCCTCACCCGGACGCTGCACCCTCCCATCTCGGGTGTGGTGCTTGCCAAGACGTTACCAACATTTGGTCGCACGTCTCACGTACATGTGCCCGCTCCCAGGTGCCAGAGCGCCACGGCTCTCTGGGAGGGTGACGGCTCCCCTGTTGGTGTGGCTGGTTCTTCCCCCTCATCTCGGCTTTGTCCTTTCTGACGTGTGATCTCCTTTCTTTGCATTTGCAGGCTAGGGCTTCCTTCCCTGGTTTCATCTCAATTCCGCTTTTCATCACCTCAGTTTCTGCCTTTCTTCTGTCTTGGTTTTTCTTTCTTTTTCTCTCCTCCCCTCTCTTCCCTTCCTCTTTCCCATATATGGGCAATGATTGCACCATTCCAGTGGTGTTAAGTCTCCCCCAATCTTGGGTTACCTAAGGCCCCCTGAAAGTACCAAAGGATTCTGGGGGAGGAAAGGGGTGGAAGAACTGAGTAGAGCGTGCAGCAAGTAATCTTCTGAGCCCTCAGCTCAGCTTTAAAAAAAAAAAAGTTGTTGGTTTGTTGTTGTTTTTTTTGAAGAGAGAGAGGAAGGGAGAGGGAGATAGAAACATCGATGTGAGAGCTAAACATTGACTGGCTGCCTCCTGCATGTCCCCCTACTGGGGATCAAGCCCACGACCCAGGTATGTGCCCTGACCGGGAATCCGACCAGCAACCTTTCGTGCCCAGGATGATGCCCAACCAACGGAGTCACTCCAGCTGGGCCCAGCTCACCTTTGACTTGTTTCATACCTTAACCTTCCGCGGAGGATGTTTGACAAAGATTCCACTGCCCAGAGGGAAAGTTTGCAGAGTTTTTGCATGGGCACAGCAGAGGCTATGACAGGCTTAGCATTAACCAGTCTGTTGAGATAAGAGGCGTCTCAGGAGAACCAGGGCCAATGGCTTTCAGCACCGAGCGGGTCTACCATGACGACAGGCGCTTTGGAGAGCACGCTGGCTGGAAGGCTCAGAGGCAGGAGGACCAGCTGGCCATGGAGGCTGAGGCTGGAGGAGGTAGCATCTGGGTGCAGTGGAGAGACTGGGGCTGGTGCTGAGGTGCAGAAGCAGCTGGAGTGGTGATGTTCTGAGGGACAGTGACAGATGCTGGGGAAATGTCCCGAGTCCGAAGCAGCTGGAGAGACAGGCAGGGCGTGTTTTGGCAGAAGCTGCCGTGGGTTCTTCTTGTGGTTCCTCAGTCACTAACTGCTTTCTCAGCATGGAGAGAGTTGGGGGCTGGAGGGCAAAGCTGTAGGCACAGAACCTCTCACACAGGTGTGGAGGTCTCGGGGCCTGAGATGCAGGGCGTGAGAGAAAGATGCATCCACTCAGGCCTGAGGGCCACGCCCACCACTGACCACAGAGATGGTACCTAATGCTGTTTGCTGCTAAAGCTGGCTGCCTTTCTGCGTGATTGCAGCTTTTGTGGTTGTGATGATTCAATGTGAAAGCAAACTTGACCCCGGAGAAGGGCCATCAAGAGTATATTGTTAAGTGATTCTTAACCTCTCTGGATGGTCCCCTTCGGGATCTGACAGGAGCTGGACCCCTCCCACACGTGCCCCCACAGTGTGGTCAGTGTGTGCAGGTGTGTGTGGGTAGACATGTTCTCACTGCACAAAGGCACCATCTTTGAGGGGCTCAAAATATCTTTATTTTGGCAAATTTCCAGCAGAGGACAATCAAGGGTCTCATTCTGTCACAGGTTGGTCTGTGACAACAACGGGCGGGTCTGTGATGATGACAGAGTGACTTGTTCTGGTCTGTCCAGAGGTGTCCCATCATCTAGCCACAGGGTTGTGCGTACCTTTGTTGGTCTACATGTGGACATGACTTTCCCTAAGAGAATGGTCCTGTCTACCTGTGTAGACCTGTGTGTCCCCTGTGAGTGGCTTTGTGTCCACCATAGGTGGCCAAAGAGCCCTCCACGGCTGGCCAAGAGTCCCCTGTGGCTGAGTGAGTGTCCCCTGTGGGTGGCTGAGTGTCAGGCCATGCAAGGCTGAGCGGGTGCTGTGGGAGGCCAAGCATTTCTTTGGGAATGGTCACATGTCTGCCCTTGGATGATGGGGTGACACTGTGGTTCCCTCTCTGCTCCCTGACCAGTCTCGGCTCCCCCAGTCCCTGCTGCTTCTCCGTGAGGCTCTGGGGTGCCAAGCCCAGAGGGTGTGTTTGGGGGACCTGGGACCCAGGAGGGGGACACCACGACAGGAGCCCAGGCGGTTGTAGGGGTGACCTGCTCTCCTTGTCCCTGCCAGGCTGAGGCCCCGGAAAGAGCAGGGCACATACGCACTGTCTATGATCTATGGGAAAACCGTGTACCACTACCTCATCAGCCAGGACAAGGCCGGCAAGTACTGCATACCCGAGGGGACCAAGTTTGACACGCTCTGGCAGGTGAGCCGCCCGCCCCCCGGATGTGAGGGAGCAGCCCTGGCGAGGTGCTCAGGCTCCTGGGAGGAAGGAGCCTGGCCCTGACGCCCGCCCCCTGCAGCTGGTGGAGTACCTGAAGCTGAAGGCGGACGGGCTCATCTACTGTCTGAAGGAGGCCTGCCCCAACGCCAGCGCCAGCGCCAGCACAGGTGCCCGGGGCCGCGGGCCACGGGGTGGGGATCAGAAGACGCTGGCCCTCAGCCCCTCACCGCCCTTTCTGTTCCCTCAGGGGCCGCTGCTCCCACCCTCCCTGCCCACCCATCCACGTTCACCCATGTGAGTCAGCCAGCATCTCAGAGTTGGGGTCTCTGGGGCGGAGCTGGTATGGGGGCTATGGGTCCTCTTCCCAGGGCGAGGCTGGGGAACGGGAGGAGGTTTCCCATTACTGTCCCTGGGAGTCCTCAGAGGATATGGGTCTCATGAGGGGCTGGTGCCCTCAGCTTGCGCCCTACTAACCCTGTGGCCTCATGACCTTTAGCCTCAGAGACGGATCGACACCCTTAACTCAGATGGATATACCCCTGAACCAGGTGAGCTGGCAGAGGCGGAGGTGTGTGATGGGTTTGGTGCCAGCTGGTGGCAGATCCCTGGCTGGCGCGGGGTGTGCTCAGGGAGACGGGGGCCTGTCCCGGCCCGAGGCAGTTGGCTTGGTTGACCCTGTGCACACACTGTGCCATCTGCCTGGGCACGCCCATCACGCCCACCTATGCATGTACATGGGTGTGTGCAGATGTGCAGGGGAGAACCCGTGGCTGTGCCTGGATGCCCAGGGCACAGACACACATTTGTTAAGCACCTACTGTGTGCCAGTTACACTCTGAGCTCACTGTGCACATGAGCTCATTGGATCCTCCTGGCATACTATGGGAGGTGGTCACAGTAATTCTCAATTTATAGACGAGCAGGAGGGAGTAACTGTCCCAGGCCACACAGTAGGCAGTGGGGGGCGGGGGGCGAGACTGGACCCAGGCAGACAGGCTCCCGAGGCCACGCTCCTAAAACGCCCCGCTGCTGATGCTCGTGTGTTGGACGTGTAGATGCAAGCCTCCCCATGTATGTACTCAGAGAACATACATGGTTGTGTGTGCACACAGAGGCTCATCTGTGGAGCCCTTTAAACATGGCTGCCTGGTGCCTACGGAGACGCGGGCAGGCACGGACGTAGGTGCATACATGTCAGTGCACACACAGGCACAGGTGTGCACATTCCAGCTGGCATACTAACGGTTACTCAGACAGACATGGGTGGGAGTGTACATGGGTGCATAAGTGTGAACACACAAGGGCACACATGCTTATATGTGCACAGTGATGCACGAGCCTTTGGGGTCCAGTTGGACGTGACCTCCCAGTGCACCCACAGATGGGACCAGGAGTGCACACATGTGCACACACACACGGACCCATGCGCCTGTACATGCTCTAGGCGCCCCTGTGCACGGTACATGCCTTGTGGGCGCTGAGGCTCCCTGCCCTCCCATCCCCTGCCCCCTCCCTCCTCTTGACTGGGAGTTCACGCCTGTGTGTGCCCAGCCCGCCTAGCGTCCCCAGAGAAGCCGCGGCCCCTGCCCATGGACACGAGCGTGTACGAGAGCCCCTACAGCGACCCCGAGGAGCTCAAGGACAAGAAACTCTTCCTGAAGCGCGACAACCTCCTTGTAGCTGACATCGAACTTGGTTGCGGCAACTTTGGCTCCGTGCGCCAGGGCGTCTACCGCATGCGCAAGTACGCCTGCTGGTGCAGGGGGCCGTCCCTGCTGCGGAGAGGGGGAGCCAGGAGGTGACATCAGTTTGCCTGGAAAACAGACCCTGGGGGAGGACCTCGCCCTTGGGGACAGCACCTGAGGGAGTGAGAAGCAGCGTGGGGCCGGGGAGGCAGGCTGGGCTGCAGCTGCTGATCCCAGGGGAGCTGTAGAGGGGCCCCCTGAGCCCCTGCGTCCACCCGTCATTGGATGCAGGCTGCCCAGGGGGGAGTGTACCTATGAATGGAACTGCTCTTTGCAGTGAGGGGCAGTTCCGGGGAGGACTTGGCCGTGCACTGCCCCGCCCGTACTCCCGGCAGCCAGGGATGAGTGCCTGGGTCTGGAAGGGAGATCTGGGTGGCAAACCACAGCGTCCACTACCCAGTCCAGGGAGAAGGAGGCGGGTGGGGGCACGAGGGGCCGGGCAGGGCCGCGCTGACTCGTGTGTGCCTTGGCTTGGGCAGGAAGCAGATCGACGTGGCCATCAAGGTGCTGAAACACAGCACAGAGAAGGCGGACAAGGACGAGATGATGCGCGAGGCGCAGATCATGCACCAGCTGGACAACCCCTACATCGTGCGGCTCATCGGCGTCTGCCAGGCGGAGGCCCTGATGCTCATCATGGAGATGGCGGGCGGCGGGCCGCTGCACAAGTTCCTCACCGGGAAGAAGTGAGCGGGCTGCGGGGCGCTGGGACGGGGGCCATCCTGTCCACTCATGGGTGTGCTCCACTGTGAGCACACACTCACTCTATATTACATATTTGTTTATTGATTTCAGAGAGAGAGTAGAAGGGGGAGAGAGAGAGAGAAATTGATTTGTTGTTCCACTTATTCATGCATTCATTGGCTGACTCTTGTATGTATCCTGACTGGGGATCAAACCTGCAACCTTGGTGTATTGGGATGATGCTCTAACCAACCAAGCTACCCGGCCAGGGCTCACACTCATTCTATATGTTCATAGACACACTCACACCCAATACGCAGCACACCCTGACACGCACACTTATACCTGCCCCAACCGCACACCTGACATGCACACTCATACCTGCCCTCCAGCACACCCTGACACGCACTCTCATACCTGCCCTCCAGCACACCCTGGCACGCACCCTCATACCTGCCCTCCAGCACACCCTGACACGCACTCTCATACCTGCCCTCCAGCACACCCTGGCACGCACCCTCATACCTGCCCTCCAGCACACCCTGACACGCACTCTCATACCTGCCCTCCAGCACACCCTGGCACGCACCCTCATACCTGCCCTCCAGCACACCCTGACACGCACACTCATACCTGCCCTCCAGCACACCCTGGCACGCACACTCATACCTGCCCTCCAGCACACCCTGACACGCACACTCATAGCTGCCCCCCCGCACACCCTGACACGTCATACCTGCCCTCCAGCACACCCTGACATGCACACTCATGCCCACAGGGCAGAGTCTGACCTCCCTGCCGGATGGAGCCCCAGCTCTGCCTCTGACTGCTGTGACCCAAGCAGGCTCTTGTCTGGGTAGTTTCCTCGTCTGCACGGGAGTGGGGATCACAGTACTTCCTCCAGGGCCCTTGTGAGGATCAGATGAGTGGGTATTGATAAAGTGCTCAGCACGGTGCCCGCACTGCGTGTGAGGGCTGGTACTAGCTCCGGGGGCTGTAACTGTCGCCACCCCACTTCTCTTGGCCCAGTTCACGACCCACAGGAAACGAGGTGGACTGTCTCTGACCTAAAGCAGGGTTTCAAACTGCAGCCCATGGCTTGCTTTTGTCCTGCATGGTTTTGCATTTTTAAAGGGTTATAAACAAAAACGCAAACACAGGGACACATGGCAGAGCCCACGTGCAGCCTGCTGAGGCCAGAACATTCCTGTCTACCGGCCATTTACAGAAGAAAACGGCTGACCTCTGACCTAAAGGAATTCGTTTCCTTTGTGCTCCCTCAGCCTCAGGCTCCTACTCTCAGTCTTTCACACGCACCCAGGCAGGGGCCCGCCATCCTCGTGTCGGCCGGCTCATGCATCCAGTCACTGCACGGGTGTTCAGGAAACTTCTCTGTGACAGGGACGTGATCTTGGGATTCATCAGTGGACAAAAGTGGCAAAGATCTTTGCCTGCATTCTGGTTGGAGAAGAGAGGCTTTAAATAATCATACAATAAAGTGCTGAGTATGTCGGGAGATAAGTACTATGGAAAAGGGGTCGGGAGTGTCAGGCTGGGAGGAGAGAAGTGAGAAGGTGAGGTTTGTGCAAACAGGGAGGCAGCCGAGCGCAGCCCCGGGGGAAGGGTTTTAGGCAGAGGGCTCAGCCAGTGCCAAGGCGCTGAGGTGCCCCCAAGCTGGTGCTGCGGAGGAGCAGTGAGGGGGCCTGTGGCTGGAACTGATGTGGGTGGGAAGGTGATGGGTCGTATTTTGCAGGGCCCTGTGGGTGTGGGGAGGGCTTGAACTTGGACCTGAGTGAGATGGGAACCCCATGTGGCTGTGAGCAGAGGAGGACCTGGCTCTTCTGTGGGGAAGACCCGGGAGGGCGAGGGCAGAGGGGACTGTTCCGGTCCAGTGAGTGAGGACGGAGGCTGGACCAGGTGCAGGAGCCAGGGTGGGAGACACAGGAGGTGCTGGAGCAGCGGTTCTCAACCTGTGGGTCGCGACCCCTTTGGCGGTCGAATGACCCTTTCACAGGGTCGCCTAAGACCATCCTGCATATCAGATATTTACATTACGATTGATAACAGTAGCAACATTACAGTTATGAAGTAGCAACGAAAATAATTTTATGGTTGGGTCACAACATGAGGAACTGTATTTAAAGGGCCAGAAGGTTGAGAACCACCGTGCTGGGGGGTCTTGAAGGCAGAGCTGATGGCTGGATGTTGGGTGGGAGAAAGAGCAGCTGAGGGCAGGCTTCTGGCTGGAGCACATGAGTGTGTGTGTGTGTGTGTGTGTGTGTAGCTTAGGATGGTGTTACTGGGGTCCCAGAGTGTGTGTGTGTGTGTGTGTGTGTGTGTAGCTTAGCTTTGTCCTTTACCATCCTTTACCATCTTTGAGATGCCCTCGGGCCCCAAGGGACCGTGGAGGATGCAGACAAATGATTAGTTTGGGAATCGTAGCAGGTGGGTGACATTGGCAACCTGGACCGCAGGAGGGCAGGGCTCCCCTGTGCTCCCCGCTGTGTGCCCTGCCCCTGCCTGGCACAGACAGGTGCTCAGTGAGCATGAGCACGTCCCCAGCTGGGGGTGAGGCGCGGGCTTGGCCCCCGGGGAGCTGGGGCTGCCACACCCGCTGACCGGGCCGCTCCGCCTCAGGGAGGAGATCCCGGTGAGCAACGTGGCGGAGCTGCTGCACCAGGTGTCCATGGGGATGAAGTACCTGGAGGAGAAGAACTTCGTGCACCGCGACCTGGCGGCCCGCAACGTCCTGCTGGTGAACCGGCACTACGCCAAGATCAGCGACTTCGGCCTCTCCAAGGCGCTGGGCGCGGACGACAGCTACTACACCGTGAGCCGCCTGGGCCATGGCGGGGAGGGGGGAGCGGGAAATATCTGTGAGGGGCGGGGTCTCC